AAAGAATTCATACAGGAGAAAAGCTTTATGAATGTAAATTGTGTAATAAGGCATTTACTCAGCGATCCTATTTAACATTACATTTAAAATCTCATTCGGAAGAGAAGCCTTTTAAATGTGACATTTGTAACAAAACTTTTGCTTTTAAAAAAACTTTAAAGGCCCATAAAACTATTCATACAGGAGAAAAGCCTTATGAATGTAACTTTTGTAAGAAATCATTTTCAAGAAAGGACCATTTAAATGTACATAAATTAACTCACTTGGAAGAAAAGCCTTATAAATGTGATATTTGTAAGAAAACATTTACTGTTAAAAACACTTTAAAGACACATGAAAGAATTCATACAGGAGAAAAGCTTTATGAATGTAAATTGTGTAATAAGGCATTTACTCAGCGATCCTATTTAACATTACATTTAAAATCTCATTTGGAAGAAAAGCCTTTTAAATGTGACATTTGTAAGAAAACTTTTGCTCTTAAACAAACTTTAAAGACTCATGAAACAATTCATACAGGAGAAAAGCCGTATGAATGTAATTTTTGTAAGAAGTCATTTGCAAGAAAGGACCATTTAAATGTACATAAATTAACTCATATTAAAAAAAAGCCTTTAGAAAATAATATGAGTCCATTAATATTTTCTTAGCACTTCAGAAGTGTACAAAAGAATTCATAGTGAGGAAAGATGGTAATCCATCACCAATGTACCCAATGGTACATGTGTAGTGAAACATTTTCTCAAAAACCCAATATGTCATATGAAGAAGGATAGTACCAATGTTTTAAATATGTAATTTTTTCTACTTTTAATGTTATTAAAAATAAAAAGTTATTTGGTAACCTTAGTAAAATAATTAATGATTAACCTATCATTAAAGAATGTAAACAAAGTCTGACTATTGGCTAAGGTATGTATACAGTATTCAAAAATCTTCTCTTACTTATTTAATTAACTTCATTAATCTCAGATTAATATTAGATAAAAATGTTATATAATATATATATATCTAACATTTTTTTAAAAAGAGAACCTCTATGGAACCCTAAATTATATTGCAATAAAATTTAAAAATATTATAGATGAATGTGTAGTAGGGAGAAAACTGTTGCGCAAATATTTATTTTTCAAGATAATGACTATTTTCAGTATCTCAATATTCATAAAATATTTATTATATGAATATTCATTATATTACCTGTGGTCTATGGGTTCATGTTCATTCCGTTCCATAGATAATAAAAACATGGATAGGACATCACCACGATATAGAGAAGATCTTTACAAATTGAAGTTTTTCGTTTACATTTTTGTATAATAAGATAACTTATATGTGCATAGAAAGTATAAGTGTATACTTAGTATACGTATGTATACTATTCTACCCCTTTTAATTATAGTTTATCTTCGTCTATATAAAAAAAATGTTCATCTGTTTACTGTATTATTTTTTTTTTTATTATCAACTATAAAAACTAGGTAAAATTCAGACATATAAATATATATGTTTATGGTAAAACTATAATAACTTGGTGGTTATTTATTAAAATTATTATTGCCTAGACCGATAATTTAAACAATATCAGTAAATTACAAGATGAGAATAAAAAAAATAAATACAATACACAGTAGTAACAAAGTTTATATACTATAAAACAAGATTAAACTATTGATTGATTGGCTAATAATAGGATTCTATGAATCTGGTGGTTATAACAATATGAAGTTGAGTGAGTTGGTATGGCAAATAAATGGTCGCTTCTAGTGTTAAATGACAGAACGTGGTAGCAAATCAAGGAAAGGAGATCTGGAGAATCTATGGAGCCATTATGAAGGGAAGAAATAGCTTTGAGGCGCTTGGTAGAAGGGAGTTTGGGTGTATCAAGTATAAGAGAATAGTTGTGTGGAGGATACTAAAGTTTAAGAACAAATGAAGCAAATGACAAAAATTTGTCCTGGACACGTTCCAACCTTAGCTGGTCCTTCACAAGATAAGGGTACCACACTACCTTGTCGTACTCTAAGATTGAACGGACCAAGACTAAATAGAGAATGGGGAGGCAGTTAGCAGAGTTAAAATTGTTTGTATTATGCTTAATGAACCCCTAATACTTTTAAAGTTTTACAAATTGTAGCATTAATGTACTGCTCACAATTTAGGGTAAGGGTTTAGAGGATCCCTAGGTCTTTGATGCAAACCACTCAATGGAGTACGGTACCATTCAGAGAGTAACTATATTGCAATGGATATCTACTTCTGCTGAAGGACATAACATTACATTTATCTACATTATGTGTCAATTTCAGATGAGTAACCCAGTTATAAAATTATCATTCTCTATGTCTGAACTATACCTGAAACATAAAACAATGTAGTTATAGCATTAGAAACTCTTTCACTAGAGACTCTTGCAATTGAATTTGTAAAGGGTCGTTTACTAGATGAAGAAGCAAAGAAAAGTAATAGTATTAAAAATAAATAGTCTTCCTCTGATAGTGCAGCGTTTAACACAAAAAATACTGGCAAATTCCCTTTTAAATGTTATAATTGTGATAGAGTTGGACATAAATCGGTTGAATGTAAGCTTAAAAGGAAAACGTTTTATAAAGGAAAGAACAGATCCAAAGAGTTATATAAACCAAAATTGATAGCTAACAATGTTTCATACAATGATGACCAAAGAGTGTGTTTCTCAATAACCACGTTGCTATCGCAACAAAATGAAAAATTACACGGAATAACATGGTATCTTGATTCAGGCAGTTCCGATCATTTAGTAAACAGTGAGATATTTTTCATCTCTGAAAGTACTAGAAAATCCAATGATCATAGGTGTTGCTAAAAATAGAGAAAATCTAACCTCAACAAAAATGGATAGTCAAGTAGAAAGTAAAATTACTTTATGTAAATTTAAATGTATATTATGTTCCACATTTAAGATATAATTTGTTGTCTGTTGGTAAAGTTAAAGAACTTGGTTTTAAATTTTTTTTTGAAAAAGGACAAGCAAATTTTTTGAATTCAAATTGAAATGTTATAGTAATAACTAAAAGAACCCAAACACTATACAAATTAATTTTTACTCTAGACAATACTAGAGATAATAGCATTAATGTCATTAGCTGTATCAAGGCAAATATTTACGGAGTATTATGACATAAACAAATGGGTATCCAAATAGAGTTACAGAGGTGGTTAAAAGTCGTGCAACGCATACCGTCTTGTATAGAACGCGCGTTACGGCGCAGTTTCTCCCTCCACATCGTTTTCGTTACGTCATATTGCAACTTTGGTCTCGTTATCTTGTTTACGTAAAACAACAGCAAAGTTTATAAAAAAACTACATAACCTATTAGACACAGTTTCATATTCGTTATCATTCGTAACACTGCCGAAATGCTCTCTTTAAAATTGTTGCTTGTTAAACTCATTTTGTTAATAAGATTGTGGTACAGAAACGAGTATACAAGACGCCAATCCAAAATTTGATCCATTTAAAAAAGCGAATCGAGAAAGAATCCTAAATTTTGAGCACCGATTATTCGTATCTTTACAACGCCACAAACGCTATAAAAAAACGTTGTGGAGCAGTTATTGAAGCTGGAGGACATCATTTTAAACATTTATTACAATTGCCGTGAGATGATGTTACTTTGTAATGTTCATTTTTTTGTTATTTGAAGAAATAAACGACTTTTTTACTATTACAAATTGTGTTGCAAATTTGTTGCGTGACTTTTGGCAACCTTTGTATTTGAACAAACAGACTAGATAGCCCTTCATTCTAAATAAAAATAATGTGTCCAATATCCTAAAACGGTATGAACAACATTTTAACATTTATTGATGATTACACACAATTTAATGTAATTTATTTGCTTGAGAATAAAAGTGAAGTACTTAATTATTTTAAAAATATGAAGCAGTTGTAAGTGTGCATTTTAGACAAAGAATTCAATCATTAAGATGTGATAATGGAGGCGAATACACATCTCACAATTTCAAGAATTTCTGCACACAAAAGGGAATTGTTGTGAACTACACTGCTCCATACACTCCTGAGCACAATGGTTTAGCTGAAAGAACTAATCGTACAATTATAGAAAATAACCGATTGTTACTGTCTCAATCAGGGTTATCTAAAGAAATATTGAATGAAGCAGATAAAGGACTTTACGCCAGTTGAAATCGCAAAAGAAATTGATATGAATATCAACCCAAAAAAAGGCGCCTGGGTACGACCAGATTAACCCAAAAATCCTGAAAGAGTTATCTAAAAAAGCTATGATTCATCTAACACACATATTCAATGCTATCCTATGTATGGAATACGTTCCTAAACAATGGAAACGAGCCTAAGTGTCATGGTACTTAAATCAGGAAAACCACCAGAACAAGTAACTTAGATATAGACCAATTTTGCTTCTTCCAAACATCTCAAAATTATTTGAAAAACTACTTCTAAAACACTTAAAACTGTTGATAGAAGAAAGACAGCTTATACCGGAACATCAGTTTGGATTTCGAAATAAATACTCAAAAATTGATGAAGTCCATCGTGTCATCAACATAATAAGTAAAGCGCTTGAAGAGAAAAAGTATTGCAGCGGAGTATTCCTTGACATGGCACAAGCTTTCAATGAAGTTTGGCACAAATGATGACTTATAAAACTATGTGAACAGCTGCCACACACCTGGTGCCCACTTTTCGAATCCTATCTGACTGAACGTCAATTCTTTTGAAATTTTGTTGAAAAATCTATAAAAAAAATATAGTATCTATTTTAATAATAACAGTTTATTATTTTTTTTTTAGTTAACAATTTCAAAAAACTATGGACTAGTCTAAGAGATAGATACAGAAGAGCTGCTAAAAAAATATATTAAAATGTTAAGGTAAAAAACAATATTTATAAAATAATGGAAATATGCGGATGAAATGAAATTTTTAAAACCATGAAGGAAAAGGATTCCATAAGTAATAGAGATAACAATAATAATAACATTCTATCTAATTAGGTTGATGATGAGAAAATTGATGTAGGAAGTGAAACTTCTATTTGATTTGAAAATTCTATTAAAAATGTAGAAACATCATTTAGCACACCCTCTCCAGTTCAACCACGACAAATTTTTTTTTTAAAAATCCATTCATTGAAACCACCCAAGATTGCATCAACGTACATCTAAAAAAAAAGCGAATTTAATGTCAAAGACTAATTTTTTTTATCAATGTATGTGTTCAATGGTCGAACAGTTTTCACCTACTTACAACCTGTTGCAAAAACCAGGGTTTTCAAATTATATCTGAACAGGAATTGGAACAAACGAAACAAAATGAATCACAACCACAATCAACTATTTCAAATCAGGACTTATTTCAACAACTATCAAAAGTATAAACACACAACCTGATCCTACCTTACTTCAAAGAAATCATTTGTCAAATCTTCAACAGCAGTTTAAATCAATTCAATCTGTTTGATTATCCAACTGGTAATTATCACAACACAAACATAGCGATACTATGTAGGTACTTTTCTTTTCTCACAAT